ATAAATTTTAAGGTTTCTTTTTTCTTTTTTCTTTAATTTTATAAATTTTTAGAGATCTTCTCTTGGGGCAAAATAACGATCGACGAGGTACAAGTTATAGGTTACAGACTGTTCCTTTTTTTTTTTTTTTACTACTATTCAGTCTGTAAAATTTACTTCTCGAAATTTTATTTTATTGCCGCTGAATATTTCATAACCTATAACGTGTAACTCGAAAAGGTATATCTTCGTTGGGAAAAATCTCCTCGAAAAGTTAACGATCGATACAACGACGCGTGTTTGTGTACAATTATTTAATAAAGTGTGAAAATGATCGAACTCGATCGAAGCGAATTAATCCCCCCCTCCCCTCCCTCCCGTTCGTGTGACGCGTGTGTATATATATATGTGTGTATATATATATGTGTATATATATATATGTGTGTGTACGTGTGTGTACGTATGTTTCGTCGAGAAGAAAGAAAAAGGGCGGTGAACGATATACCGCCGATTGGACGACGGTCGCGGGTCGCGTCGCGAAAAAATCCTATTTACAAAAGTTATACACGGCGATCAGGGAGACCGGAAAAACGTTTCGCTTGTCGCGATTATATCGTTTATTATTATTTTTTTTCTTTTTTCATTTTTCATCTTTTTTTTTTTTTCTTTTTTTTTCCCTTTCTTTTAATCGAGGCATCGAGGGATCGTTTCCCGATCGTTGACGAGCGGAGAATCGTGTTTTCGCGTGTTACGAACGCAGCTGCCATCGAAGAGACGGAAAAATTGTACAAGGAAATGCGAGGAAATGCAAGTACAGAGATAAAGGATATCAGATTTGACGATACGCGGGGATTCATACTTTTATGCTTTGTGTCACGGCGAATAAAAAATAACAATTAATACTCGTGCGTCGCGTGAAAAATAAATACGCGATATTATTGTATAGAAAAAGGAAATAATAATAATAATAATAATAATAATAATAATAATAATAATAAAAAATAGAAAGAGATTCGTTCTTAACAAACTAAACGCGAGATTCGTGCGACGAGATGTAGAAAGGAGCGCGTGTTCAACCTTCCTGTTGAGAATTACCTTCGCGTCAATGGGATATACGAATTTTTAGTCACTTATCTCGGATGTTAACGGCGTCGTTCAATGAGCGAGCGAATTATTTTGAAAATAATCGAGTGAAGAAAGTTGGAGTTCGTTTCGCAAGGGAAATTGGATCGAATCGGCGTCAGGAAACTCGTGATCTCGTAACGCTGTTACAGAAGTAAAAACTTCAGTCTATAATATATTAAAAACCAATCATTTCCTGGAATATTTCGAATTCCGCCCCGTTCCCTCGAATCCATTTCGTTTCACGATTTCGATCCAAATCACACCTCGATCCACGAAATACGAATAACGAGATATTATTTTTCGCGGGATGAAAGATCGGTTTGCAAAAGTTTTTTTGATCGTCGAACCGAGGTGACAGCTTATTTCCGCGTGAGAAGAAGGAACGACCGTCGAAAAAACGACGACGACGACGACGACGACGACGACGATGATCGGTCGATTCTTTTTTCTTTCTTTTTTTTTTAAACAGGCGTGTCCGTCTTCTCGTCCTTCTTCGCCTCCTTGACGTCGGTGCGCCCGTTCACGTATTCCGTGCTCGCGTGTATCGGATTCTCCTGGCCACCCTGCGGTATTTTCTCATCGATGATACGCGGGTCCTCGTCGTGATCCTCTTCGTCCTCGTCCCCAGGGGTGATGTGCGCCTCGCTTCCGGCGCCGACACCGCTCGCAGCTTCCTCGTCGCCCCGACGCCTCGCTGCAACAAGCAACGCCACGATCGGTCAAGGCAAAAGTGCGTGTGTGGATCTCTCTCTCTCTCTCTCTCTCTCTCTCTTTTTCCCCCCTCCCCTCTATTTTATTTTATTTTATTTTAGTTTTTTTTTTTAATTGGTTTAATATCGTTTACCCTCGAGGACGAGGTTACTTTTTTTTTTGTTTCGTTTCGTTTTATATTTAATATTTTTTTCTGTCGCGTTAGTGTCGTCCGTGTTTTCGTGTTGTTAATGTGTTTTTTTTTTTTTTTTTTGGTTTCGATCGATTTTCATCAAGTGCGAGGGATTTGCAAACGCGCGAGCTACTTTGGCGATGGACTTTCCTTCGTGCGTTTCGGGATGACGTTAGATCAAATTAAAATTTTCTTCGTGTTAAGTAAGAAGGATTATTTTTAGAATTTTGGAAATTTACCGCGATGCGGTTGATTTTTGATTACGGTTCCCTCGTCGGGACGCGTGTTACTCAGGCGTTTGCAAAATCGAAATCGATCTGATCGATTGTTAGAAACTGTGTTAATAATCATAAACATTCAAACAGGCAAGTCATCGCACTAATAATAATAAATAATATAATCCAAGCAAGTGAATAAACGTGAGTAAGTAAACGTGATAAACTTTGAACACGTAATCATCTAATTGTCATCTAAGGTAACATCGAGAATCGTGATGGGAAAATCCAGAGGGAATTGAATTGAAAGAATAAAAAAAGGGAATCGATACGAGCATGCTTGTACGATCGTCATTTAATAATCGTGAGAAATAATAATATCGTGACATATATATATATATATAATTAATCGTATTATTTCTAATCGGAAAGAAAGAGAAAATGTAATCCACATTTTGTGGGGGGATGCAAAATTGAAAGAAAGATAATTGAACGCATCGATGAAAGGGAATCTGGTCTGGTTTTTCGATTCGAACAAATGTCACCACACTTGCCTTCGCCGATTGTCGTTGCTTGTCGCAAAGGAAATTCGCTCTTTTTCTTTTTTTCGTTCGACCCCGATAGTCGTGAAATTTGGAGAAATCCCGCGGGGGATTTCTTGAACAACGTGTCGCTACAATCGTGGCCTGAGTCAGTGTTTTTCAAACAGCTTCGATTCTCTATTTAATCGCGAATGAACGATCTCTTTGCATTTGTGAATTACAACAAGTATATAATGGTCTGGTCGAAGAATTGCATAATCGAAAATACTTTTTTTTAATGGAAATTTTTCATCCTCTCTGTCGTAATTCTTTCCCTTTTTTTCTTCCTTAAATGGTATTTCTCTTTTTTCTTTTTCTTTTTTTTTTTTTTTTTTTGATAGAAAGAAGAGAATTTGAAAAACACTGGGCGAATAATAATAAGAGCATAAATTAGGCATGGTATTAGTACATGCTGTGAGACTAAGCACAATGTGCATGCACGAATGATCGATATATGTATGCTCGTGATTGAATGAAACCAAATCTCATAATATTTAATATTTCACAATTGTTCTCAATTCGTTCTCTCAATAATTTTTGTCGAATTAAAATAATGCATAATGTTTCCTTCTCTAACTAGTTTTATTATAAAGTGATAAAAAAAATGAAGAAAAATAAACTTAGGATCAAAAAACGATTATTGGAGAAAGAAAATATGCATTCTGGATTTATTTAAACGTTCTACTATTTGTACTAGGATTATTTTAAACGGAATCTTGCCATTAGATAATCGATTGGTTGAATACAAATGATTTAAAAAAAGGAAAAAAAAAAAAAAAAATAAAGAAAAAAGAAATATGAATATTCATCGTCAAAAATAAATGTGTTTGCCCAATCACAGGCCGATAAACGAATCGTTCCGAACAATGAAATTCCGACTTGTTCATTCGTCACGCGGTTATCGATTACACGCCAGATTTCTGATACGATTTTAATCGAACTTTCGACTCTCCGCTAAATGTTATCCAGAAGTTTTTCTTTTCTCATTTTTTTTCTTTCTTTTTTTTTTTTTTTTTTTTATTCATCGCAAACGAATGGAAAAGAATCGATCGAGATCAATCGATAGAGCTCTCACTCGTTCTCGAACGAACTTCAAAACAATTTCTATTTTTTTATTATTTTATAAAATTTACCATAACGATAGTATATATGGAACATTTCAGATTATATCGTAAATTTCAATATAACCAAATTCTTAAACTCTTCTCCACGGTCGTTTTAACTCGATATTAAAATGTTCGTTTTCACATTTCGGGCAAATATCATTTCGCAACGCTTGAGATCATTCCTCCGACGTCGAGATATTTTCGCATTCAAGAGATAAACGTTAGAACCGTTTTCTCACCGATTAGCCAAGACCAGGTGCACGATCGTAATATAAGAGTGGCGAGGATTTTAAATTGAAAAAAAAAAAAAAAAAAAAAAAAAAAANAATGATCGGACATCACGGATATGAGAGAAATGGCGAAATGAAACGAGGATAAACGAGCAATATACTTTGTTGAAAAAAATGGGGATTGCTTTTTGTTTTTTTGTTTTTTTTTTTTTGCTGCCTGAGGTGACTTACCCCTGGACAGTGTCATGCCTAGAGTACGGAATCGCAAGGTAATTGTTGCTGTTTCTCCTTATTCTTTACTTGGCCCGACTTGCATGCTGTCCTATCGGTAGCGGCACAACACACAAGACATTTGTATACATACAAATATATAGATATGTAAAAAAAATAAGAGACATTTAAAATTTTACGATTTTAAGAGTACAGCTAGGAAATATCGTTCGCCATCTACGTACACGCACGACCACTCATTTTATCCGATTAAAAATCATCGTTATATGACGTTATATATAAGTTTCTTATTATGGATATCTTTTCTTCTTTTTTTTTTTTTTTTCAACGACAAAAGTATCTGTATAAATATCCTATCCATCGATATAAAAAATAACGCGAAATATCTTATGGCGTTATCTATAGTTAGATACAGTAATCGAAAAAATTGATTGATTCTAATTATAATTAATTCTCGTTTCTTTCTTTCTTTCTTTTTTTTTTTTTTATTAATTCGTTCATTTATCCTATTTTCTCGTTTAATTTAATCGTGTAAATTGATCAAAGTGTAATAAAGTACACGAAAAATCGCCAAAAAAAAGGATGGGGGATATCGCGTTGGCACGTGTTCCAATTTTAGTGGGAATTAATTGGAAAAATGTGGCACTCACCTGCGAAGCACCAGCGTCCGGTCGCACGGGCAAAAATTAGTATGAAAACGATGAGAAGTAGCACCAGGGCACCGACCACGATTCCGATGATAGAACCAGCATCTAAATCGACGCCTGAAATTTCGTAGAAAGCCACATTGACGTTTTTTTCTTTTTCTTTCTTTCTTTCTTTCTTTTTTTTTTTT